GTGGTTTCTCTAACAAGTTTATCAATAAAGATAAGAGCAAAACCTCACCTTAAAAAAAAAAAAAAAAAAAAAAAAAAGAAATTGTATTATATCAAAGTGTAGTATTTCCAGAGGGTTTAATTAGACCTTTACAATTCTCTTTTTATTAATTTATATATTCTACACATATAAATTCTTAGGTTCTTGAAGTTCATATTTCACTTCTTCTATTATAGGTTTCAAACTCAGATAGGATACACTTTGACATTACTCTGGAGCTTTTCTCAAGACTTATTTAGCAGTTAATATGAACATTTCCTTTCTTATTTCTGTTCAAATTTCTTTATCTTGGTTCAATTCCTACTACACTAAAAATTAATACATAAATAATCCTATAGCCCAAGAATCTTGCATTTGTATTACAATTTTTAGCATCTTTTATTTTTAGTAATAGATTCTTTCTTATCACAAAGATAAGATGCAACTTGGTACAGTATAATATAGCCAATCTTCACTTAACTTCTATGAGTTCAATTCAAAATTTTTTTATTTTATTTTATTTTTTTTTTACTTTTGAATTTGCTAATTTAAACTTTTTAATTTGTTTTTTTTAGGGGTTAATGCTAGGACACTGATGACCTAGTCTGTATTAACTTTAATATCAGATTTAGGTTAGATTGTTTCTAGGTTATAGATATGTTACAAGTTTCGTGCTAAGAATTAGTATGTATAAACAGAACTAACAATCTTCTCTTCTATTTCAGGGTCAATTCCAAATTTATTTACAAGCTCCCATCAGACAACTTCTTGTTGAACCTCTTCAATAATCCATCCTCAGGTAAGCTTGCTACTAAGTTGTAATCATAGAACAAGATTATATATAGTGTATTACAGAATTCTAACCTTTTCAAGGCATAGTAGTCTCTGATAGTTTGGTGGTTATATATGTGGAACATTTCATTGTATTGCCTAGTTGTTCCACAGTAGTTTAATTTTTGTCTCTGTCTTCTGCTTAGTTTGTTATACTCCAACATTTTAACTGAGGCAGCATGAACTCTATTTTCTTGTCTGTTTTCACCCTCTAAAATATTGGCAATAGGCCAATATTTTTGTTGTTCCTTTGGCTCCTTAACACTATTAGGAATATCCTTGCTGATTCCTATTTTATTTTCATGAGTTAGGCCTTGGTTGGGGTCATATTGAATCTCACAGATTGGTCCTAGGCATTGCATATCTCACAGTCACCACCAAATGTTGAGGGCAGAATAGGAGTCCAGGGTCTGAGAGTAGGTCAGAACAATGATCTCACACTAATCTCTCTACAACCTACTACTAAACTAACTATAACCCTAATAATAGAAAGCAGAAAAAGGGCGTGAAGGATTTGGTCCAGGTTTACCAGGGTTAAGGTCAGTTTGTATATAATTGGAGGGGTAATCGTGGATTAACGAATGTGATATCAGGTTACTATGGAAAAGAATTTATTCTTTAAACTTGGGATTGTTTTATTGAACTCGCAGTGAGCTGAGTTGAGTTTAAGGGAATGAGGTATCGCTTTTATACTTTCTGCGATACTAGTAGATACATTTGAAACATATTCAATATGTGTCCGATATGTCAGATATGACATATATGCCATATGTGCCAGATATGACATATCTGCCATAAATTCCATAAATGCCACATATGTCACATCGTGAACATCGGCTAATCTAATTAAGGTAAATGATGATCTTTTACAGGTTTCGAGGTAAGACTATCATACATGTCTAAGATATACTACATATAAAAAGACTAAACAAGATTCTAAAACTAAAAATAGGACATCGTACCACGTCGAAGCGCAGTATTTCCGGAGGGTCAAATTAGACCTTTACAGAGGTCACCAAATTTCCGAATTGAAAGACTTCAGAATCCTGGTCGATTGGGCCGGAAGTAATTAATTTTGCTTAAAATCAAAAATTTACTGATGAAATTATGGCCTACATCCTAAGTAAAAATGCCTGCCTGATAATTTTGCTATAGGCATTGTTAAATATATAGTATAGCATAATGCTGGGGATTGCCCTGTAAAGAATCCCCAACTCCCATCCCCTAATTCCTACAATTTCACTGGGACACCGTTCGGGACATCGCTAGCATTAATGCTCGCAAAATCGATGGGACTACGTCCCATGTACAACACTAGTGGCGGACATTTTAATAAGGAGTACTTTGTCGAAAATTATGATAATGATAATATATTTGATACGGGGTACCCCCGTCTCATTTTCGATGTAGACTTGTAGTGCGGGAGTTCGGAACAGTGTTTGAAATTTGATGTTCTCATAGAAACATCATAACTAATTTGAGAACATCCCTTTTTAAAAAGGTGTTCTCCTATATTTTAATAATCATGAGAACATTAATTTGAGTCAGCTCAATATAAACGAGAAATTTTTTTAAAATTTGATTTATTAACCAATTTTACATGATATAACAATAACGATTACGGTAAATGAAAGAAGAAAATTTATTCTAATTTCTGCAGGCAATATAGCCAATTAAAAACGTTTTTTAATAACCAAAAACGAGACTCATATATACAACAACAATTTTATTTATTTATTTAACAGGTATAGTCATGATTGCATTCTTTGCTCTCCTTTTAATTTCTAAAATAGCGTCCATCAATTGAGTCGTTTTCTCTGTTAGTATCCTATCTTGTTGTTCCGTTAAATTTTTTAGGTAATCTTCAACAGTTAATGGACGAATAGGGGTTTGAAGAATATCATTATAAGGAATTGTTATTTCTTCGTTATATTCTTTATCCTCACTAACTTCTGTTATTTCCGTTTGATTATCACACACATTGTCTAATATGTTATTTTGCTCCTCTGTCAAATTTTCATGATGATCCTCAATAATTAACGTTTTCTCTAACCGTTCATGTAAATATTCAATATCGTCCTGAGGAGGTTCAGTGATAATTGGTTCTATTTGAACCGAAGATACAAGAGTATTTGTATATGGAATTACCATTTTGCGTCCATTATCATTATCATCAACGCCTGTGATTTCCGTTTGATTATCCCATACATTATCTAAGAAGCTATTTTTCTTTGTTAAATTTCTAGCACACGGAATGATTACTTCTTTATTACACCTTTGATCGATTTTCATAACTTCAATTTTGTTATTTTCAAATGCATTGTTTGATATTCTATTTTGTTCCATTAAATTTACATCATCTTTAAGAATTATTGCTTTCTCTAACCGTCCTTGTAAAGACTCGGTAACTTCAGCGTCCATCAATTGAGTCGTTTTCTCTGTTAGTATCCTATCTTGTTCCATTAAATTTTTTAGGTAATCTTCAACAGTTAATGAACGAATAGGGGTTTGAAGAATATCATCAGTATAAGGAATTGTTATTTCTTCACTATATTCAATATCTTCCTGAGGAGGTTCAGTGATAATTGGTTCTATTTGAACCGAAGATACAAGAGTACTTGTATATGGAATTACCATTTTGCGTCCATTATCATCTTTTACATATTCATCTCAAATCAAAAATTCAATAACATAATCAGCAACTTCAATACAATGATCAAATAATAATACCTCGCAAACAAACAGAAGTAATAAAATATCTTGGTATCTTTTTTAGATAGTCATAGTTCATCACAACCTACTCATAAAGCTATCCTTAATAAAATAGAAAATTTTCTTTCCTTAACTCGATACAAAAAACTTACACCAACTCAAATTTCTAAATTATTTAATTTAATTTTACAACTATCTCTCGAATATCTTTTACAAATAGTTACTCTCTACCCTTCTCAACAGGCTAAACTCTCTCATCTTCTTACAATACATACCAAAAAATCTCTTTTACTTGCAAAAAATATGAATAATATATTATTAACTAATCCATTATCTTTTAATCTCTCTACACTTTTAAATTTAATTCAAAAAGTCTCTGCATCAAATTTAGATTGACTTTTTAATAATAACTCTCTACTAAAAGAAATCTCTCTATTGAGAATAAAGGATTGGCTATATAAAATTTGGCAACCTCAACTCACTACAGAAATTTTATTACATCACTCTCGCAAAGTTACCAACTACAATTTAATATTTCAACTCTCGCAACTTGCAAAAAAACATTATTACAATAGCAAATATTAACTCTTTACTTCTACCCTCATCATCACTCCCTTCACTACAATCTAATATTTGCTATTGTACTAAAGTTTTTTAGATTAACCTAAGTTTTTTTAAAATATAACTTATACAAATATAATTTTTTTAAAACTAAT